GAGAGAGAGAGAGAGAGAGAGAGAGAGAGATGCTCCCGTAGACTCATTCATGTCTATATTTCTTATATTTTCTGCTGACTTAACATTTTTGTTTGCTGTAGAAACTTTCGTGGCGTGCTTCGATACAAATACACTATTAGTATCTGACTTGTATCTCTCGAACAATTCTTTGAATTCTACCAGTCTCTCTTTCGCTGGCTGGTGCATTGTTTATTGAAGTGGGCAGTTTAGTGAAGCTTTCAAAGTTATCTGATTGTGTTTTGAAATACTTTAATTTGAAAGCCCTTGCCTTCATGATCATAAAACCGTTTAAATTGTGTTGCTATCTTTATTAGTTCAAAAGTTAAGGGCGGGTGGGGCACCTAGAAATCGTGTTTTGGGGTCAAATTATGCAAATTGGGGTTATTACATACATATATATTATAGTACCTGGACATTTCCTGAACAATATCCAGAAACGTATTTCAGCCTTGCTACACCCTAAAGCTGTGGGTTTTTTCAGTTTTTCTTCGAAAACACACATCATGTTTTCCAGCCTTTTCTTACCTTTATCAGCTGTTTTCTCAGTTTTGCTTTTTTCACACATTATCCCATTTTTTGCTCTGTTTCGTGTTCAATTTCAATGTAACTTTCACAGGATACCAACAACACCTAGTTCTAAATGTTGGCATGTTGAATTTTTGATTAATGAAGTAGTTTTTGATTTATGGGCTTAGAAAGCATGAATTTTCCATTTTTTTCACCCTCTTTGCAACAACCCAGTGGTAAGTGTCTTAAAATAAAAACTAAAGCATACATAAAAAATTCAACAAGCCAAATTTAAGAGCTAGGCCTACATATTGACTGTTGGCATGCCAAATTAGAAGTGAATAAGTTGATAAATAAGGGAATAAAAAGAAATTGAAAAAGGTATACAAAATCCAATATGGCCGCCGTTTCCATAGCAACCGATTCACAATGTACTTTTTGAACTATTGATTTCAAATCCCCAATAACACACGATGTCCCATAGCAAATATGGGCACTCTAGGCCTTGTAATAGCCAAAATAGACCTCAGGTGCCCCACCAGCCCTTAAAGCAATTTTTCATACCTAAAATTCAGCCAATTTCAGGCCATTTTTAACATTGAGTTTTTGTGACACCAAAATGCAACTTTACAACACAAATGATCATTATTTTTCAAAAAAGGAATATTTCTTAAAGTGTACATCAATTTGTTGGGAATTTTATGTAGAATATACAATTCATACATGTATATGCCTTGCATGCTGTTGAGTTTTTTCTGGAAACAGGAGAGAAAGAAAATAATATATGCTTTTGAAAGCTGTAGACTGTAGGGTCAAGAGAAGCCCATTGTGTGTTGAAAAGAGCATTCAGATAAGGTGTAGACTTTATCATACTAAATCCTTCTTTTAATGAATTCAATTTCTATTTGAAAGAATTACATTTTTAAAGAGATCAGTCATGGTTCACCGGTTCAATCGGTTAGGGAAGAAGAATGTGTCATGTGTTTACAGAAAGTACACTTTTAAAAATTATTTAATGTAAATTTACTATTGTTCACAAAAATTTCAAGAAAATATGCTTATGGAAATTGAACAGTTCTGTATTTTATTGTCCATGTAATATTTATAATTATGGGGATGCTGACATTTGTATCACTTTTTAGAAGAAATACAGCCGTTGATGGCCATTGGGGTGTGTTCTTGAGCAACACTTGATAACCCTAGCTCTAAAACAGGGCGACCGAAATGGTGTGTGGGTTGTCTATGTTTGTGATATTCTGTATTATTCATGCAGTTATGTATATGTATATGTGTATTTATCTATGCCATTGTAAAAAAATATTCTTAAAGTAATTTTTTTAAGCTTATTTTTTTCTATTTAGTAGATCATATTGTATTCCAAAGATGTAGGGACAGCAAGACTGTCGCCAAATAGTGACAATGAGTTTCAGCCGAAAGCAGTATATGATAGTTGTAGCTCTAAGCTTGTGGTTGTGGTCTGCAAGCACTTAGTTTGTAACAAAATTACACATTCCATGTAGAAGAAGCATGAGATTTCAATGCGTTGGTAGCGAGGGGCCATTTTAATTTTGCCCTGATTCTCTAGAAGATTGCTGATTCCTACTTTATCATCATTGCCTTTTTCACCCTGGATCAGGATATAGGCCATGAACAAACACTTTCCACCTTTCCCTATCCTGGGCGAGTCACTTGATGTCACTCCATGTCTTCCCACTTTTCTGTACGTCCTTTTCCATGACCCTTCTCCTGGTTCCACATGGTCTTCCCCTTGATCTTTTACCCTGTGGGTTCCAATCTAACACTTTCTTTGTCATGCAGCTGCTTGACGTCCTGAAAGTGTCCAATCCATCGCCAACGCCTTTTTCCCGCCTCATCTCTGACTGGGCTTTGTCTCGTTCTTCTTAATACTTCCTCGTTCGTGATCCTGTCTGTCCATCTGATCCTCAGTAGCTTCCTCAGACACTTGTACAAGAAAACCTGGATCCGCTTTATGCACGTCTGAGATGCGTTCCATGTCTCACATCCATACCACAGGACTTACTTCACATTTGAATTGAAAATCCTCAGCTTTGTCTGTAGTGAGATATCCGTGGTCCTCCAGATCATGTTCAAAGAAATAAATTATGTAGTCTGTGCCTTTCCAATACGGGACTTTATTTCAGCGCCTGTTCCTCCCTCTCTGTCAATTATACTCCCAAGATAGCAGAAGGATTCGATATCGTTTAGTGCATTTCCCTCTACTGTGACCTGCTCATTTCGTAGTGCATCTATCCTAAGGACTATTGACTTTCTGGGGTGGATCCTCAATCCAACAGACTCTGATAAGCTGTTTAAAATTGTGGTCTTTGCTTGTATCTGTTCCTGAGTGTGTGACAGAAGCTCCAAGTCATCTGCAAAATCCAGATCGTCCAACTGTGTTCATGGGGTCCACTGTATGCCATTTCTGTGTCCTCTGGTGGTTTCCTTCATCAGCCAGTTGATTGCCAAGATAAAGAGGAAAGGTGATAATAAACATCCCTGTCTCACACTGGTCTTGATGTCAAAGCCGTCAGTGAGCTGGCCATCATGTATAACCCTGCAACTTGTCCCTTCGTACATGCTCCTGATGAGGTTAACCAACTTCTGTGGGAGTCTGTGATGTTTCAGTATCTTCCACAGTGTTGCTCGGTCTATACTGTCAAAGTCCGTCTCTTAGTCAAGAAATTTTACCATCAACTGGGAGTTCCAATCCAGGGATTGTTTCACAATGATCTTCAGCGTGGCAGTCTGGTTGGTGGTTGACCGATTTTTCCTAAAACTAGCCTGTTCATCCCAAATTCTTGGATCTGTTGCAGACTTGATTCTCTCCAGAATGGTTCTGTTGAAGACCTTACCTGGTATTGAAAGAAGAGTGATTTCTCGGTAGTTGCTGCAGTTGCTGAGATCCCCCTTTTTAGGAAGTTTCACAAGGTATCCTTCTTTCCAATCCTTTGGGAACTTGCTCTCATTCCAGATCTTGGTACACAACGGGAGAAGGAGGTCTGCCGTCACATTGGCATCTGCTTTTGGGGCCTAAGGTGGAATCTGATCAGGACCGGCCGCTTTACCGTTGTTTAGCTTCTTAATGGCCTCCATAATCTCTTGTTTTGATGGACCATCACAGCTGATTGGTAACTCATTTCTTGCTGGCAGGATGTTTGACGGGTTACTTGGTGGTGGTCTGTTCAGGAGACTGTTGAAATTCTCTACCCATTGTCTTGACTGAACTTCCTTTCCAAAATGTTTTTTCTCTCTTGGTCCTTTACTGTTACATCTGGTTTTCCATATTTTCCAGAAAGAGTCTTTGTAGTCTGGTAAATGTACATCTCACTGGAAGTAGTGCATGTGGTGCTTCCTGCGCATATGTTATTGGTGTTGAAATGATACAGACTCTTTTAAACCATTTTCAGTTTCAGAGAGGTCCGAGGAGCATGACCACCACGAGGCAGTGTACCCCATGCAGGGAAGCAACACTGTGTAAGTTTATTTTTGCTTATATTTTGTAAATTGAAAAACGATTTTACCATTCTTTTTGGTATTGTTTCCTTTGGTAGCACATTTTTTAAGGATAATTTGAAAATGATAAGCAGTGCTCATTTGGCAGTTTAGCTGCTGAGAAAAAAATATATTGGCAGTTTAGCTGCAGAGAAAAAAGTATTGGCAGTTGTAAAGTGAATCTGATATTATTAAAAAATTTTAATGTTACTTAAAAGTTGTTTTAGATCACAAATGTATTTACACCGAATTTGAATATTTTTAACTTTTTAGCATTTTAAAGTAAATGAGTTACCAGTCGTGAAGTGAACTTTCGCAGAGGTGAACAACTTGTGTTTCGCGCGCTCATATGACCTTAGCAGTTGCGAGCGCCGTAAAACCTTATACTACTACTACTACTATTGGCAGTTTAGCTGCTGAGAAAAAAATAAAGAGAGAGGGAATGATTTTGAGACAACTGATAAAATACATGCATCCATTTCTGGTGTAATTATTTAAAGGTAGGTTATTTCCGCAAAGTCACCCATTCTTCAAATTATTTTTTGTATGCCGTAGTTTCTATGCCTTGACCTGGGGATTACTTACTTTGCATCAATGATAATAATAACAATAATAAATAATAATTAATAGCATTTGTTTAGCGCATACCCCCACTCGACAGCAAGCTCTATGCGTTTTACACTATATTATTACCCTAGCAGACCCTTTAACATTCTGAAACATTCTCGGTTTCCTGGGACGCATACAGTGCAAGCAGCCAATTAAGCACTCAAACACTAACAAACTGACAAGATTACCCCCAGTTGGTCGGGGGATATAAATAGATCCACTGCTTCGCCTGCAGAAGGTGCAACCCCCTCAAAGACGGAGTGTCGCACACGGACCCCAACCCTCTGGGATCCGTGTGCGACGCTCACTTTGGTGCATCGTTCTCTCCTCCTTCCTTCTTTCTTTCTTCTTCTATCTTTTCTTCCACCGCTGACCTCAAGTGCAGTAAAAAGAGAGGTCACCCATCCCACAGAGTGGGCGCCTTGTTGACCGTGAGGTGCGACCCGTGCGGAGGGAAACCGGG